ATTATTTTCATCAATATGTCTTTGCAATCCTGAAACAAAAGTATAAATTTTATAAAAAAAAAAAGCATGACGAAACCTAAAAAAAAAAAAAATTAACAACAAACATTTTTTTGTTTATGTTCAATGTTTATTATTCACGCATTTAAATTGAATAAATGTTAATAATAATAATAATAATAATAATTATAATAATAATAATAATAGGAAACTATATAAAAAAAATACTGATTTTGTAATAATAATAAATAAAGTATTAAGTTTTGTACGATTGTATAATTTTTCTAAATAAATGTATTTATTTTTATTTAATTATTTATTTTTAAAAAATAATTATTGATGTATTTATTTAGATTATAAAAAAAAAAAAAAAAATTAAATGTACGCCTTCCATGTTCTTAAAAAAAAATGTTATAATTAAGCGACACACAATCAAAAAAAAAAAAAAAAAAAAAAATTAGAAAAATAAATGTAATTTTTTTTACAAGGGAACAATATTATTATTATATTATTATTATTTTTATCATAAATATTATTACTATACATAAAAAAAAATAAAAAAAATAGTTTTTGTCGGACAGTTTTAAAAAAAATTTTTTTTTTTTTTAAAAAATCAATAAAACTAAAATAGAAAATTCCTTGGATATATGTTTACCTGCGCGTAGGAAAAGTTTTTATTATTACATAATTATTATTATTATTATTATTTATTAAAATCATCTTTCATTTTTTTAACTTGGATAATATTTTTTGTAATATTTTTTTTTCAATAAAATTTATTTTTTTTTTTTAATAAAAATTATTAGTGAAATTAATTTTTTTATTCACCATCATTAAAATTTTTAATTCATTTTTTTTTTTTTTTTTTTATAGTTTTTATGTTATGCTATGAAAATTTTATTTTATCATTATTATTTGTAAACTTTATATATATTTTTATTTTGATATTAAATTTTTAAAAGAAAGTTGTGATGTATTTTTTACTGTGGCAAATATTCCTCATTAAACATATAAATACAATCAAAATATGAGAAACAATAGTTTGATAGCCTTGAAATTTTTTTTTTTTTGAATTTTTTTTCCTGTAAGTTTTTTCATAGTTTTGCATTTTACTTAAAACGACATTGTTATCAGTGATAATACAGTTATGCAGTGTTTATAAGCATATATGGAAATAATATGCATATATATTATTTTTTCCAATTTATTCAATTTTTACATATTCTTAGTCAATATTAATTAAAGTATGGGACTCGTAATAAATTAGAAAATATATCAGTAAAGAGAGAAGACAATAATATTTAGTCTTGGCCATATTATTACTATATTTTATACAGCATATATGGATGCATTATAAATTTAGTAAATAGAAAAACTAAAGAAAACAAGTTAAACATTAGTACAAATTTAGTCATACATTTACATTACACTAAAAAAATGAATTCATTTTTATAATGATATATACTTAAAATTATTTTTATACTAATCTAAAAAAAAAAAAAAGAAATAAAAAGAAAAATGGATTCCTTACGTATAAATTGAATAATTTTCGAACACATGATTTTAGGCATTTAGGCGAGGCCAATATCTTGTCCGTTACACACACACACACACACTCATTCAATGGTTAAAAATTTTCCTTTGATTATTAAATTATATGACGTCGGATTTTACTTTCTATGAAATGTTAACTTTTTAGTGTGTTTGTGGAGATCGCATAAATATGTGATGTTATTATCTATACTTATTTATTTTTATTTAGAGTTACAATAAGTTTTTTTAAGTAGTAGTATGTCGGGATTTGAAGATAATTTTTTTGATGATAATAATCCATTTAATGTAAGTAAAAAATTTGTCGACTTTTTTTTAATTTTTCGCTTCTTTCAATATCATTATTATTTATATAACTGTGTTTAATAATAATGTTGGAAATTTTTATTATTGATTTATATCGTTATTTATCTGAAAGTTTTTACAAGATTCGACTTGAATATAAACGTCTAATTAAAAATCAATTTTTATAAATTTTTTTTCTTTTTGTAATTTCCTTATTTATTTTAATAACGTGAATTTTTTTTTATTTTATTTTACAAAGTATTTACTTTTTGATTAATACAAATATAACTGTTGAATACGTTTCATAAGGTGATGTTTATATTAATATTATTATTACTGTTATAATTAGAATATATATTTTAAGTTAGTAATTATTCTTAGTTTCTTTTTATAATTTCAATTGATACAAAGCATATAATAATTTTGTGGCTTACATCTTATTCATTATTTAATTTTAGTGGTTTTTTTTGTTACTGATAAGATTGATCTTGGTAATCTAAGCCTTTTCATAATTATCTTATAATTAATAATGATGTTTCTCGATTGTGATTTTAAACACACCTCATTTAAATATGTTAGAGTTTAAAAGTAAAACATTTATTTGAGTATAGGATCCTTCTATTGCTGAAGTGACTCATCATGCTGGAAAAAATTCATCTGGTTTAGAAGGTTATTCTCCATTTGCTGCAAATTCCAAAGAAAATGCAGAATCAACACCAGTTGCAGGTCCTGCTATTATGCATCCAACCACTCAAGACATTTCCCCGAATCCAACTCAGTATAATAAAAATAATAAATCTGCTCCACAATACACTGTTGAAGAGTTGGAGGTAAAGAAATTTTTTTATTATTTTCAAAAAGATCAATTTTTCATTAAAAATAATAAATTGAATACCTATTTAATTAAAACAAGATTTTTTGCTTTTAAATCATTTTTCATTGTTGTATTGTATGATTTTGTTTTATGTATTAAAATATACATATTCAATTATAAAAAAAAAAAGGAAAATAATTAATTAAGTTAATTGATATAGAAAATTACATTAATGGTATTAAAATAATGATTTCAAGTTGGTTAAATGAATCTTTTTTGTTAATTCTGAACAATGATAAACTGCAGTTAATATTCCTACACAATATTTCAATATTTTCTCGCTACCATTTTTACTAGAAGAAATAAATTTTATAATTGTTTATTTTTTAATTATTATTATTATTCACTATCAAACATGTCAGAAAATTACATATTTACATAGTATGCTAACATTCAATAAAATAAATTTT